TATGCGGATCATTCCGCAGGATAGATCATTCATCTCTAGGCTACTATGCCTCCTGCCTGGCTTTCCTGACGATGGCACCGTAATGCTCAACCCCCGGCCAGATCCGACCTGATCATGTGGAACCATTTCCTCCTTGAGTGGAAAGGTATCTCCATGTTCATTCCCCTATTGACAGACGATTCACCCATAATATGGACAGACGCAGCCGCCCATACAGGATTTGCTGCCAATTTTGATAACCTTCAAGGAAACATCAGTCCTATTGTGGCGGCTGCCCACACTTTGTTTTATCATTGGTCCTGCAAGGCAGTTAAATGTTTCTCTGACAATTTGACGGCATGTGAGATAGTCAATAAAGGGCACTGCTCTTTGACCATTATGCGGTTGGTCCGAAAATTAACTTGGCTTGCCGCCAAGTTGCAGTTTTACTTTGTACGTAAACACATCCTGGGAGTGGCAGGTGATACTTTTCAGGAGTTTTCAAGTTACTTCCCATTGCCAACAAGCACCAGTCCAGAACTCCTGCATTTCCATAGGTGGTTATGTACTAACTGATTTAATGACCCACGCGCGGTCACTGTCCCGTACCACTATCTGAAAATAACAAGACAGCATACAATAGGGCATTAGCGGTATTCCGCAGGTTTTCCATGGAGTTCCACCTGCAGGAGAACTACTTTATCGAGAGCATGGTGGCTTTTGCTTCTTTTTGCCATCTCCATCTCAAACTAGCTCATAACACTATTAAACTTTACTTTACAGAAGTTCAACATCAAGTCCTAACAACATAAATCCTAATCACACCCCCTTTCTCGCCTCATATCCCATTAAAACCATCCTTAAAGGCTTTAACAAAACAGATAGACCCCCTACTTCAATTAGACTACCTATAGATGGACCTCTCCCACTTGCTGGATATAAAACCATTTGAAAGCCACATCAACAACGTTATTAAGGCAGCCACATACATTGCCTTCTATGGATTCTTAAGGCCCAGAGAAATCACAGTGGTACACAAGTCTGAAGTTACAATAAGCCTCAAGACATACAATATTATCAAACACAACGAGCACTATGTTCTCATCCTACAAACGTCTAAAACTAACCAGAACAACCATCCATCCACGATCCCATTATTTTCCACAGACAACAACTGGTGGGCTGTAAAAATATTAGATTTATACCTGCTTACAGTCAACAGCTACCCACCTAGCGACTGAGCAGTACTGGCTACCCCGTCACCAGTTTTATTGTTTAGCAGATATGTAGAGGTAACTCCATTATAGCAATATGGCAAAATTATTGACCCGCATAGAAATTTAATTCATTCACCTGCTCCCACAACCCTTACGCTGCTAATGCAGCCAGAGGGCAAATAGTTATTCAACTTATCAATTTACTAGCAAATAGCAAGTAAATTTCCCCCATGCAATCGTTGATAATTCTCCAATTCAAAGTGCTGTAGTTTAGTTCAGATGCAAAAATCACTGATTTTTCAAACTCATCTGAACTAATGTTACAGAATCGGTAAGACTGATCGTATCCTGACCATATTTGGCTTCAGTAAATCTGAGAATTGCCAATGCAGTCAGAATTCAGCAGTTTTACCGTATTTTCCATTCAGACGAAATTGAGTGTTTAGTGAATAACCCTAGTAAAGTTAGGCATGCCTTTTCACTGCATACAGTCCTCTAAATCCTTTACTTTGAAATGTAAGCTTAGCGATCCATAGTAGCGCATTGGAAACATCAGTATTAAAAATGAAAAGATGTATTCCTAACACTAACATCCTTTCATTCACTTATTTGATTCACTCTCCTCTTCTACCGATGTCAGCCAATGGAATATATAATGTGCATGCTCAAGGAGCAATGCATGCACAACAGGCCTTCCCCATAGGAAAGCACTGAATCCATGCTTTCCTATAAGATTTTGCTTGATGCTGATAAGTATGAGGACATACAGCATCGTTTCACTGAATCAAACTCTGTGAAGCTGCAGGAAACACCTCTAAAACTGCAATGTTTTACATTGCAAGGCTAAGGGGAACAGGGAAACTGAAGCGGTCTGGGTGCCTATAGTGTCCCTTATAGAAAAAATATTTAAAACTTATTTAAACAAAAAAGGGGATGGTAAAGCTGGGCACTGATGGGCTATAACTTTGTATTTTAAAATAAATATTTAAAAGCTTTTGAGTACAACATTAAAATGTATTGTCATCTGTGGAAAAAAACCCTGTGCAATGCCTGCTGTACGTATTCCCCGAAAGAATGCCCAAAGCTCACCAAGCATTAATGTACCATACACTGGCATCAGTACATATTCTAATAGCGAGACATTGGAAGTCCAAGGACATACCGTCACGTACACATTTAAGAAATCAAATCGCACTCAACTGGTCATATGAGGCCATGCACCAACACCAATTTGGCCCGAGACCCGCATTAGCTAAGGCGCAACTCATATGGGATAGGTACCTAAACCAAACTGACAATACCGTAACACAATTATTACCAGCGGACAAAGGCGAAATCCGTGGCGGGGGACTGGGGAGCCCCAGTCTGGGACCACGAAAGATCAAGATCCAAGAGACAGAAGAAACTTGCCGCCCACCAGCTCTCCACCATGCAGGAATCCCTACCAAACCACCTGGGAACCCTAGGGTCATCCCTCCACAAAACCCCCCCTGATGCACCTCCTTGCCACCCCTCCCTCTCTCTGTCTCCCCCCTATCTATACCTCCCTATAACTTTACTCTCTCTACAAAATATTTTAGACATGTAGTTGCAGGATTCATGTACCTAAAGTTGTTAAGTAATATTGGAAGGTTTACCCTGATGTTACCGAATCACCATACCATGTATGTAATCGCGATCAGGATATCCAAACCTCCAGCACAATTGTAATGCAGCTGCATGGCTAAATAAAAATTGTCAAATTCAAAAAAAAAATGTATTGTCATCTACACAGCTATTGTTTGTGTGCTGAGCATTTGAAAGCCAGTCTCTGGTCACATTTCTATAAAGCACCATAAACAAGTTTATTCAATTAGCAAAGAACTGAAAGGGGCCCATTTATAGATTGAAATGACCTTCTTACAGGAGAGCTATGCACAAAAGCAAACAAATCAATGCGGCAAGTAAGATGTCTTCAAAAAGCCACAATTTATATTCACTCAAATTATGTGTAATTGCTGGCAGGGATCCTTTTATTAAATGAATATATTATATTAGATAGAGCTAAAAATTTAGGAAGTGCAGAAAATATGACCTGAAGATTGAGCATCACCAAGTGGGGTTTCTGCTCGTTTGACTAATTAGAATGTTCTATTGGTAATATTTGACTTGTGATCACTTCATTAACCAAAAATCAAACGGCAGATGATATGAACAAAATATCATGGACGTTCATTTAAAGAAATTAAAAAGATTTCTTTATATATGTCATCAGATTAACAAATACATTCGTGCTGCAAATATGACATTCAATTAGTTGTTAATTAGAGTGCAATGTCGGATTATTCTTTTGGAATAAGTGTTTTTCAATTACAGTTTAAAGGGAGATATTAACCGCTTAAAGTAAATGGCCCGACCATATCCTACTTACTTTAAAACCTCACATTGTATCAATTCCATTGTCTTGAGCTACAAATGTACAGTGTGATTGTTCAATGCAAAAGTAATTTGGCACTTCCATTTAAAAAAAAAAAAAAAAGGTTGAGAAGAAATTAAGATGTAACAGTACCTTGAGAAATGTGCATTACTGAGGAAATGCATTGTGTCTCATTTACCAAATTGTCTCAGTTCTATATTTAGGCACAAAAGAACATTTGGCACCTAGAGGTAGATATGTCCACCTTGTAACAATCACGGTTATTCTCTAAAGTGTGAATGACCTGAAATTTAAAGTGATCTTCGCATGTAAGGCCAAAACAGAGGAGCTGGAAAAATAAATTCAGACATGGTTCTCGTTCACTTTGAATTCCTGACAACTGATATCCTATATTCAGGGCTCAAAATTGCACTACTAGCCAGCGGTGAATTTCTACTCACCAGTGACTAGAAAGTAGTAAAAAAGGATTGCAATTTTATTAATCCTCTGTGAGTGGAAATAAAATAAAATAGTTGGTTTCCAGGAATTCATGTGGTTATAATTATAAAGTGCTTTTTTATTTTATTGTTAAAGCCATTTGTAGTTAATTATAAAGCATAGTTTGGCGGTAATATTATGGGTGCAAGGTTTTAATGTGTCATAATGTGTTCATGGAACATGTTATGTTGGACACATAGGCGTGCGCAGCCTATTGCATTACATATATATATATATATATATATACACACACACACACACACACATACACTGCTGTGTGTGCTGTTAGTGTGATGTGTGTGTGAGGGTGCTGTTAGTGTGATGTGAGGGTGTTTGTGTGTGTGTGTGTTTGTGACTGTGCTGTTTGTGTGTGAGGGTGTTTGTGTGTGAGGGTGTTTGTGTGTGTATGTTTGTCCTATGAGGGTGCTGTTTGTGTGAGTGTCGTGTACTTGTGAGGGTGCTGTTTGTGTGTGTGTGTGTTTGTGAGGGTGCTGTTAGTGTGCTGTGTGTGAGGGTGTTGTGTTTTTTTAAAAGGTGCTGTGTGTGTTTGTGAGGGTGCGGTTAGTGTACTGTGTGTGTGTGAGCTGTATGTGTGTAGGTGCTGTATGTGTGTGCTGTATGTTTGGAGGGATTTGGCAGATTAGTAAATCCTTGCTGCCATGTGCCATCCATGGTGGTCCAGTGGAGAGTGAACTCTAGCCTGCAGGGCTAGAGTTAACTCTTGCGAGATCTGAGCGTTGCCGCAGCAACGCTCAGATATCGCGAGAGGAACCTGGCGGAGCCTCTGTCTAGAGCTCCCTGGGTCCTCTCCTGCCTCCCTCCATGCTGCTGTGGGCCGGTGAGGTAGATCTTTGGTCTCCCCGCCGGCCCATGGAGGCTTAGAGCAGAGCCGGCACTCAGATAGCGCTGGCTCTGCGTGTGTGTGTGTGTGTGTGTGTGTGTGTGTGTGTGTGTGTGTATATATATATACACGTACACACACACACACACACACACAGACACATTCAGACACACACACACACACACATACACTCACTCACAGACACACACATTCACATTCACAGACACACACTCACACAGACACACACATTCACAGACACACACTCTCTGACACACACACACACACACATACATACACTCACAGACACACACAGACACACAAATTCACAGACACACACATACACTCACAGACACACACATTCACACATACATTCACACACACTCACTGACACACAGACACACACACAGAGACACTCAGACACACACACACACTCAGAGACACACAGACACACACTCACACACACACACTCATACACAGACACACACTCATACACAGACACACACTCATACACAGACACACAGACACACTCACACATACTCACACACAGACACACACAAGAACAAATTATTATATTTTAATTTAAAAAAATGTCCACCCAGCCTCCTACCTGGAGTGCTGGCGTGGACTTTTCCCTGGGGTCCAGTGGGGCGGGCGCCTTTCGGCAGCTCAGCCGCGGCGAGGGAGCTGTCTGCTGTCTGCTCTCTGCTCCCTCTTGCCGCGCAGGCTGTCTGCTGTAGCTGGGAGCCGGAATATGACGTCATATTCCGGCTCCCGGCATCAGCGCGCAGCGAGAGGGAGCAGAGAGCAGAAAGCAGACAGCTCCCTCACCACGGCTGAGCTGCCGAGAGGGGGGGATCCATCACCTCTTGCCCCCCCCCCCATGACAGGGGCAAGAGGTGAAACAGGGGGCTCTGAGTGCCTGCAGGAACAGCGTTCCTGCTCAAAAAAAGTGCAGGAACGCTGTTCCTGCAGGACTCAAACCATAGGCGTGCCACGGGGATTAGGGTGTGCCCGGCACACCCCGTGCGCACGCCTATGGTTGGACATAGGGTATGGGTGGGTTTTGGAGAGGCTTATGCCAGTATACACGGGAGGAAATAAACTTACCCTTGGCTGAAGCCCCTGATACTTGTTTCCACCTAGCAAATAATGCCCCATCAGGGAAACCTTCTGCAAATGATTAAATTAGTTGGTTACAGAGATAAATACAACAAGGTTATTAATCGAAAACGATATCGACTTCAATCAGAATTGTAAAATATAGGCATAAACAGCTGCTCTAGAAGAATTCACCCGTCATAGTCAGATTGGTTATTTTAGCCTTACTTTTTATATTTTGATTAAAGGATCACTACAGTGTAAGGAAAACAAAGTGGTTCTCCTGACACTATAGTGCCCTGAGGGTGCCCCAATGTAGAGATTGTTGCAGACCGCATACCTGTGTTTCCTGATGGTGTTGGCCTCTTTCAGCAGAATCGTATACTCTGCCGCACTGCAAAAATTGTTTAGTTATTATTTGAGGAACAAAAAGTTCAAGTTGTTGCTTTAGCTTCCAAATTCCCCTGATCTCACTCAGATTAAGTATTTGTGGGATTTGCTGGAACAACAAATGCGATCCATGGAAGTTTCACCTTGCAACTTGCAGGATATAGCAAGGACTTGCAAGGAGCTGCTGCTAATGTCTTGGTGCCAAATACCATAGGACACAAGAGGTATCTATATGATGTAAGGCAGGACATTTTAATGTCGTGTTGGTTCAGTGGATGTTACCACAATGAAAACTCCCTTCAATAATTTACTGGCTCGCTAAAGCAGATATTTTTTCTCCACTAAAATAAACCTATAAGTTTATTTTTAAAATCCTCAATAGCCCATATATGTATACATATACATACACATTTGTGACAAATTCCCCTTCCTACGCGAGTTTTCCACAAGCTCCTGGAGGACCATGCTTTCCAGCCTCCTGCCTCAAGACTATGGGCCATGCGAAAAAGGCTCATAAAAAACTTTGTTTGTGCCCTTTCTCTATTCTGTTCGTGAACCAAACAGGCGCATGTACCATGGACCACCCGAGAGCTTGTTAAGCCTAATTGAGAGTTTGTAACACGTTCCACCGCAGTGTTCTAATTGTTTGTCTGTGGGGCTGCTGTTCGCATGAACGACCACAAGGTTTGCGGCCATCTTGTTCAGATGAACGCAGCCAGCACTGATTGGTCGTCGAGTTCATGGAACTGAAATCGGACACAGAAACTCTCGAACACCGCTGGACTTCCAGCATCGCCTGCGTTCGGTTCTACACCACTTAGAAGGGCATTGTTCTGTGGAAACATTCTCGTGAACTAGGTGTCAGGATTACAGTATGATCCAGCACGTAGAATTGTGTAACACAGAGGACTGATAGGTAACGTATACCGGACCTTAGAATGGCCGGACTAACGTACCAAAGAATAGTCAGGATTAGCCGAGGTCAAGGGACTCAGAAAGAGACACAACGATAAGGAAAAGCCATGGGTCGGGATACCAGAAAACAGGGAAGTCAAAATCAATGCCAAAGTCAAATAACCAGAATAAACAGAATCAATAACGTGCTCTCGGACAACCACAAGGGAAACCACGACAGGCCACTGAGCAAGAGGAGAACTGGGCCTAAATAACCCACCTGTAATCCCATTGGTTGTAACCGGCCTTTGATCCCAAAGGCAGTTACCAGGTTTCTATTTGCATGATTGCTGCTCAGCACAAACCCTCCTGTGGATTGATAGCTGTTCGGCACAACTTTTCCTATCAGCAGTTTTGCTCAACACAACTTTTCCTGTCAGCACAGTAAATGCCATTAATCACATTTTTATGTGCGGAATACATGACACTAGGTGAACAAGCTCCAGGGTAAGACTTTTGACTATGTTCGGTTGTTTGTTCGTTTTTAAACTACCGAACTAGACTGACTGCTAGCCATGATTTCATGGAACTGTTTTGTGGTTTGAGCATAAGACCATGTGCACGGTCGGTTAAATAATTGACTTCTATGAAAACTCCAAACCCCTGAACCGATCTGGGTGATTCTTGGATATGTTGGTCACCTAGATCGGGGCTATCAGGGGATGTAACTTTTGTGAGGTTTTCGTGTATTATATGTGTATTTTGGGATGTTTTATAAATTGTGTGTTTTTCTGTACCTGGAGATAATTGAGTTTGTACAGTTCCATAATTGTATAACAGCAGGGCATCTGGCCAAATTAAAGCTTTCCAGCTTGTACTCCCAGAACTATGTGTCATCTGGTTACTGGGAGGGGAAAGGGCTAATCACTACTCTAGCTTGTTCCAGTGTGGAGGATTCAATGGAAAAAGTCCTTGTAAGCACTAGAGCTCCCAGGACTGAGTGTCGTTCAGTGCCTGGGAGTGAATAGAGTAAGTTCCCCATTCGGCTCCAGGACAGAGTTAAGCCACGGTGACTGGGGGCAGGAGGGCTCCTGCCCCACAGTCCTCTGTTCCAGCTAGGAAGCGGTCCTTGGCAGAGGTACCCAGCCGGGGTACAAGGAGCTCCATTACGACATTTTTTGTACCTTTTTATTAGAGTTTTAACTTCTTTACTATAAACTTTAAAAACAAAATTCACAAAAGTTGGAATTCTGGAATGAATAGTTTGCATATTAAGAACGGAATTTAATTCAAGGATAACTAAAATGTAAAATTAAAGCATTTCCTCCTTTAGGCCAATAAAGTGTTCAAGCACAGTGACCAAATCATTTGAGGGTTCGTGGCCCAATTTATTTCAATTAACTATCGGGTCTAGCCATTAACTAGCGGGTCTAGCCATAAACATACAAAGTAAGGATGACTTTGCTGTTTTAGTATCAGCAAGACCTAAACTCGTCTAAGCTACAGGAGTCTCACTGTGTATCATGTTAGAGTTTACACTTTTTTATAATAAGATTGCTTATATATCAACAAATATAATGGAATACCATAAGAGTTCATTGAAAACAATAAAAAGGTAACTAATTATATTACTACATCAGAGAGTGTATGTTTAACGATTCAGTAACTTGTCCCCAGTTCTCATCCTAAAGGAATCTTGGTGTGTCCACTTGCCCATGCTGCCTCCAGAAAAGTAGTAGAACCAATCTTCCCCATAGTTATTAGATGTCAACTGAGTGGTTGGTACCATCAGTAGTTACAGGGTCCTCTACATTGCTTACATACCTGCAAGCTTCTCTGCAGTAGTATGATGGAACCTCGAATCACGGCTTTGTCATGGCAAATAATAGGCCTCTTCAACCCAAGTTTCTCCACTGTGTTCTTTCAACATTTTAAACTGCATTCTAGAGAGAATAGGACACTGTATCTTTTCACCATCCCTCCATCACGCACAGCACTAGAGCTACAAAGGCCTGGGAATGCAATGGTGGTATGACATTAGGAAAATATATTTCATCCACCAACTGTGGTGCAGTGAAATGGGGTTAGAACGGGATATCAGGTGGGGAAACAGAGGACAGGGAGATCTGGTGAAGAGTGATATAACTTTGAGGAGACCCATATCTCATCTCCACTTTGAGAGAAATCAAAACACAATAGCAGGGATGCAGGATGTATGAAAATGGAGATATGTTTTAATAGATGCAAAATAAGTTATCTGCATTAATAGCAAGCTGCCTTCTATGGGGAAAGCCTAGGTTAAAACAGTTAGTCTAGAGGGCTGGGGTGAGGGGAGCTGGGTAGAGGTGAACTGGTGAGACGAATTGTAATGAATCTCTGTTGGTTAACATTTATTGCTTCCTGTTTCCTCACATCTGTTATTATTGCTCTCCATGCAGCTATTTTTCCAATAGTCGAGTATTTTGTTTCTGGAAAAACACTATGAATACATAATGCCTTCTATTAAAATATGGTATTTATCTATTTTCCCCATCCTTTAACGAGAATCTGTTTTTCCATTAAATAACTTATTTATGCACGTAATCAGAAAACGTATATATTTACATAGTACACAGAACAGTTTTTTCCTTTCTTTCGACTGGCCGTGGCTTAAATGTCTTGCTGACAATTTGATTTTTACCCCTTAATGATGTTGAGAGTACAGAGTACATCAGTCGTTTAAAAGGTAACTACCTTCCTCATATCCTGTGGTTCATGGGATAAAGAGTAATAGCTTTAAGGG